CCAAACCAATAACAAGAGGATCTGATTCTGTTCCGATTGCAGTCAATTGGGGTTTTGCTATTGATGTTAGTGGAAGCTAGGTGATCCCATTCTTTATTATATGTTTATGGGAATGTCCACAGTATGGTAGGCACTTTTTAGAGAGAATAAGGAACAGCCCCTACCCTGGCAAGCTTGCAGCCAGAGGTCAGATAGACAGAAAAATAGGGCAGGGCTAGAGCAAGTGGGAGAGAGTTTCTTTTTTCCCTTAATTCTCACAAAAAAATTCAAACTAAACTGGTAACAATTAACTCAAATGTCATGATAACGGAGTTTTCAAAATTATAAATCCATCAGAACTCTTGATTGAAATACATTGAACATTTGGCTTTCTCTGCCCATTGCAATCCAAAAAAATATGCTTTTAAAAGAGTGACTTTACTTAATCTCCTCCTGCCTTAAATGCCCTTATCCATAATAGGAGGGGGAACTGCAATCTAATGATAGCCAATGAGGGCATCCTTCTGAAATTAACACCAGTTGTAACAAATATGACATCAGAACTGGCTTCATTATATTTCTGTCCTTGTGTGTGTTACTGCTTACGTGAAGGGGTATTTAATCTGTGTTACCATGCACTGTGTATGCGGAGGGCACCTGTGCTATGGTGAAATGTAGTCATTCACAGTTGAAACCCAGAGCTTAGTTGTTTGTTATACAGACATCAGCCAGTTGTTAAAATCTGTTTTGGTCTTTTAAAATACCCAGAAGGTCATTATAAATAGAACCTATTAGATCCATCAGCTTAATCCCATGCTGTTATATGTAATTTTTAAGTGCCTTCTCTTCTGAATACTTGAAATGTAGCCATCTGAAAGCCAGATTTTGCCACACTTTTTGACAATGAGCAGTACCATAATCTGCAGGTAGCCCTATTAAAATCACTACATAGGTTTGGTTTTAATTTCCCATTGAAATAATGGTGTACAAACCTGCTGTCAGTAAGAGTGGCAGGATCTGGCCCTATAAGAATAGAGTTATGAAGACTGATACTACATAAAATCTTAACAGTTTTGCAACCTCTCTTTGTTCTATTTATGCACCTTATTAGTGCACATCAGGTTTAGTTTACAGAATTTGTTGTCCCGCTTCTGCTCATAAATGAGGAGGACATAAAAATGAATACGCTGAATCTTGGCCTGGTGTGTTGGCTGGACTCCATCCACAACACTATTTTACTGCACAGTGAAGTAATCCATTTTCTCATGGGTGCTAGAAAGCTGACACCTCTTGCGTTTTTTTCCAGAGCACTATCTTATGTTATTGACTTCACTCTGCAGCTTTTGCCCTAAGTTCTGTATTTTATTTAGTAACCAATCAGCACCATTTTTTAAACCCTCAACTCTCTGAAGGCCTAATTCTCCAAACTGAACTGTAGAGACAGCATGCCAGATTTCCTGCTCCAGGTTAAATACTGAAAGGGTGCAGTAGTCAAGTGACATTGCCATGGCTGTCATTATATAAAATGCTCTCTCGCTAGTTCTGTCCTACTTGTCATTGGTGTGATCCTTTTGGAAAATAGATTTAAGGGGGCATTTCCCAGATGCCAAATGTCCCAGATTAGATTAGACTCCTTGTTAACTGGAAAGGTTCCTGCTAATTTCTAAATTGTATCTACAGTGAAACCTGAGTCTGGGGCTGATCTACACTTTTCAGCCTTCAGATTTTGTTTTTATGTTAAGCCAGAGGCACAGCTGTATTTCCATACTGAGTGTATTCTCATCTTCTTTATTGTTTAGCAGGAGTGGAAATGTTTGGTAACATTTGTGTATCAGGGGACAATAGAATTTAAAGAAAATGAGGAATGGCACAGATGAGCTTTGTTCACCATTGTTAGTGTTGTTTATTCTCATGAGTATTTCCCAGTTACTGTCCAGTGCTACCCAAATGTTTAAACAAGTGTCACAAAACACAGGAGAAATTGCAGGCTGCACAATGTAGGATTGTTATTAAAAACCTGCATACACACACCACAAGATGCTTCATGAATATTCTAAAATATTGTGCATGCTGTTAACAGGCAACTAACTATGACCCAGTTAAGAACTGTAAGTTAAGATATTCTGTTTAATGCACTATACATGTAATTAAAAAGAATAAGATTAGAAGAAAGTGACTGGTTGTGGATCTTGTCAGTACAGCTGTAGGGACTTCCACAGACCAATTTCTATTTGTGTATAATACTAAGTTTATCTTGATTTAAGTTGTAAAACAAGTTTTAGAAGATTTCTGTTATAAAAGAAAGGATCTGTTAATAAATAAAATAAAAGTAAAACAGAGTAAGGAAGCAGAGGCAATACTGATGACTTCAAAAGAGCATTCATTTTCTTTTATACAGCACTAAATGTACAAAGTTTTGCGATGATAAGCTGCTGATAGATCCCATGGTGCTGAAGAAGAAACTAAATAGGATGGCAACAGAACCAGGGGCTTTTGCTGTCCTCAGCAGCCTGCTGCTTTACATCACAGACCTCGCGGCCTGCGACCCACAGATACCGAGGAAGAAGGCAAAATGGGCAGAAGGCAAAGGAAACAAGGTGATTTATAATCCTGAATGCCAAAGTGCAAACAAAAGCAAGCGCCCCACAAGATTCCAGCTTTTGCAGTCCAAGTTCATGAACAACAATCGTGAACCTTACATAAAAAAGACAAGAGAAGTTGGCAAGCTAATCATTAAAGAAAAGCAGTGGGTAAACAGGGGCTGTCTAAATGCCACTGTTAACAAATTAGACAAAAATAAGGAAAAAAAAGGAAGTGGTCAAGCACTAGAAGAGAACAAAAAGATAATGCCCAATGAGAGGGTCAAGTGGAATGGCCTGAGTGGGAAAAATACCGTGAAAAACATTCTGAAGAAATTTTTAGCTGCAGAGGAGAAAGAAACTAAGGAGAAAGCTTCTGTCTGGAAAAAGAAAGAGCCAAACAGCAATTTGCCAAAAATTATCAGCAAGAATTCTGTTTTCTCCAAACTGAAGGAAAAGTTTGAACAGGCTAGTTCTGTTTGTTCAGCCACGGAGGCGAAAACATTGCTGTTGCGCAAAGGTGAGAAAAATAATACAAAGGTCCCAAGTAGAACACCTATTCACAAACCAGAGGTCACAGTGCTACACACTGTGACAGCCCCAGTTCTAAATAGTCCTCAGTCCCAGTATTTAGTGTGTACGACGGCTCCAATGCCTAGATTCAGTGTTGTGACTGAAATTAGCCATCCTTGGAGCTGGTTGACAAACAACACTGAAAGTAATCAGCCTTTTGATCATGGCACTCAAATGGTAGAGATGAGTGACTCTGACAGCAAACATGATATTAAGCCTGGTAAGAATGAAATGCCAGAAAATAGGGCACAAGACAGAGAGTACAAAGGACAGATGCAAACTGTACAATGTGTAATGCCCAAGGTCATGACTGACAACAAGGACAGTGCAGAGACTAAAATAGATTCCACAAACCAAGGACCTGGTTTTCTTCCTAATCTAGACTGCTCTTCTACTTTCTGTAAAAATAAATCCCTTGCAGACTGCATTCCTACCTTATCTAAACCCACCCTATCTCACAAGGGAAATAGCACATTAGCTGGATTTGATACATCTTCATTAGGGGATAATAAAACTGCTCAATATGTTAGTGAAGACAATCCGTCTACTAACTTGCCCTATTCTGGTATAGCTGAAGGATCCAGTGCACACAGTCCCCAGGATATTAAAGAGGTTGGTATTCCTAAAATAACGGTGAATGCATGCAGTTCAAAGGAGACAGAAATAGAGTTCTCACAGTCAGAAAAAGATCCTCTCTTTGCAAGCCAAAAATGTTTCCCGGAGGAGAAACTATCGGAAAATATTCCATCGTTTTGCTCCCCAGTAGCTCAGGCATCTCAGAATGTAGTGCCTCCAAATGATGATCTGCAATTAATTGTCAAAATACCAGTTACTGACAAAATGCCACCGCTGATGCCAAGGCAAGAAAATGCATCAGATTTTAAAGGCAAACATTCCAAAGCAGCTGTAAAAAGAGAGAAATTTCACTATAAACAGGAAATATTTCCTAGTTCTAGAAAAAATGATTGCAAAGTCACAGCTAAGCAAGAAGAGGAGCCAGCCATAAATCCAAACAAGCTGTCTGATTGTCAAATGCAAACTGAACAAATAACCCAGGAATCACAACCACATCAAATGCCTGGCCAACAAAATAACATTGATAATTTCAGCATTAACGTATCAAATCCGACTATGAATCAGACAAATGATTCAAAGAAGGAAAAAAGTGGTATTGTAGAAGGAAAACATATCTGCTCTGATTTTGAAAAGGACCAAGGTCCATTGTCAAGTTATTTAATGAAGCACAGGTGTTATATTCCAGAAGAGAATTTTGGGAAGGACCAATTATCCTCACCAAATGAAATGGCAAGTCAGGAAAACAATACTGCCAGGGAAAGGAGTACCTTGTGTAATCTGGAGATTTATGAAATGCCATCAAAGTATTTCATGAAGCATGAAAGTGACATTGCAGATGAGAATCCCTGGCCTAATTCTGAGACATGTCAATCATTCTCATCAAATTATTTAACAAAGCACGAAAACAATGCTACAGAACAAAGAATCTGGCATGCTATTGAAAAGCCCCAGATCCCATCATCAAAAGATTTGGTGAAAAATGAAACCTATAGTGTAGAAGATAAGAAGGCTTGTCATAATTCTGATAAGTACCAATTACCTTCTTCAAATGAGTCAGCAAAGCATAAAGGTGATATTATAGCAAAGAATGCTATGTATAACCGTGAGAATTACCAGACACCACCATCATCAAGTGATGTCATAAACCATGAAAATAATACAGCCAAAGAGAAGAATATCCATCATGTTTTTGAGAAGAATCAGTTACTCTCACCAAATGAACTGGGGAAGCATGAAAATAATACTGCAGAAGAGATAAGTCCCTTGAGTAACGTAGAGAAATCCCAATTACCCTCATCAAAAGCACTGTTGAAGCCTGAAAATAATATCGCAGTAGGGAGAATCCCCTTGAATAACTGTGAAAAGTACCGACTACCCTCGCCAAATGAATCAGAGAAGCACGAAAATAATACTGTGGTAAAAACAAGACCCTGGAGTAATCTGGAGCAGGACCAACTGCCAACTCCAAATGATACTCTGAATTATGAAAATGAGATGAGAGATGAGAACTTTGAGAAAAACCAGTTTCCTTCCTCAAATGAAATGGTGACTCATGAAAATAATAGTGCAAGTGAGAGAAATAACTTACATAAATATGAAGAGTACCAAATGCTGTCTTCAGATGATGGTTTGAAACATGAAAATGATACGATGGTAGAGAAGAATGCTACTGCAGCAGAGAGAAATACCTTGTGTAACTCTGAGATGTGCCAAATACCAACATTGGGTGATTTCATGAAGCATAAGGATAATAGTGCAAAAGAGAAGAATTCTTCTAGTTTTGAGACATGCCAATTACCCTTATCAAAGAATAAAATTAACACTCCAGGACCAAGAAATACCTTGTGTAGCATCAAATACCAAATGCCATCAAGAGATTTAGTGGAAAATGAATATGATACAACAGAAGAGGAAAACACCTGTTGTAATGCTGAGAGATACCAACTGTTTTCATCCCATGAATCAATGAAACATGAAAATAATGCTGCAGAGGCAAGAAATATCCAGAGTAACTTTAAAAATTACCAAAAGCCATCATCAAGAAGTATAGGGAAACATGAAAGCAAAACTGTCCAAGAGAGAAGTACCCATCATAATTTTGAAGAGTACCAGTTACTTTCAAGAAATGCACCACAGAAGCATGGAAAGAAAGGTGCAGTAGAGAGAGATACCTTGTGTAACCCTAAGAAGAATCAAAAACCATCATCAAGTTCATTGGTGAAGCAAGAAAATAATGTTACGGTAGAGAAGCAACAACAAACACCATTGTCAGATGATTTTGTGAAGCATGAAACTGAAACTGTGGAAGAGAAGAATAAACATCATAGTTCTGAGAAGTACCAATTAACCTCATCAAATAAATTGGTCAAGCATGGAAAAAATACCGCAGTAGAGAAGAAGCAACAAATACCAATATCAAATGATTTTAGAAAGCATGAAACTAACACTGTGAAAGAGAAGAATAAACATCATAGCTCTGAGAAGTGCCAATTAACCGCATCAAATAAATTGGTGACACATGGAAAAAATACTGCAGTAGAGAAAAAGCAACAAATACCAATAGCAAATGATTTTAGGAAGCATGAAATTAGTACTAAAGAAAAGAAAAATCCACATCTCAAAGTTGAGAAATACCTTCCTCAGTTACCTTCCTCAAGTAAACTGGAGAAGCATGAAACTAATAGTTCAGGAAAGAAAAACAGTTTGTGTGATTTTGAGACGTATCAAGCTTCATTGCCAAGTGATCTCATGAAGCATCGAAGTGATTCAACATTAGAGGAGAATCCTTGGCATAACATTGATAACTACCAAAAATTACCCCTATCAAATGATGTATCCAAACATGATAAAAATCCTGTAGAACAGAGGAAAACCCAGCATGGCTTTAAGAAGTACTGTAAACTAACATCAAATGATTTAGCAAAGCATGAAAATGTTGCTGCTGAAGGAAAGGCCAGGAGGCCAGGGTCTGATCAAAGAAATGACAGAAAAACAGAACTCCAGGACTGCACTAGAACAGCAGCACACGCAAAATACATAGCAGAAAGTTACAGTGAAGGACCCCTAAATTCATCTTTTAAACCAATGATAGTTAGAGTAAGTGATACATTTAAGCATCACACCTGATAGCTCTACAGGTAAACTAATGACCTCAATTATTTGTATCATCGGATCTTTCTTTTTTTCCTTCAGTGTTCAAGACATTAAATTATCACTTCGTAATTGCATGGATATTGATGCGTATTTCTTAGGGTGTGATTCTTTTCCCTTTCTTAAACACTGGCCAGAAGATCACTGCAAATATATCATCAGATTAATCATCAATTTATTATGAGAGGGGCTGAGAGACCATCAACAATTTAATCCTGCTCCAATCTCTCCTTGATAAATGCTCGGTTTTGTTTGTAACTAGGGTATTTTGAGGATGAACTTTCCTTTGTATTTACTCATTTTAGTAAAACGCTGTTACTACTCCTTCTAGGAATGACTTTAGACAATGTCAGGCTTCGTTAGGTCAAAAATGGCCACTTAAGTTCTAGCTTTAAAGCTGTAAATGCAAAGGCTGATCCTTGCTAACATGCATAATGTTTCACGGGTAATGTGCGGAAAGATAGATGCTTCCTTTATCTGCAGGAAAGTCCTGAAAGGACAATATGTTAAATAATTTACTATCGGGCGCTTATGTTCTATGGTATAAATATTGGGAAAATATTGATTGAACCTTCTGTCAAGATATTTACACTTTCGGTTGTGTACAGTATTGAGATGTGTTTGTAGAGATAGGTTATTCCCTCATGCATGTCACGCTATAGCTACTCCTGTGTTCACAAAGGGCCATAATGCAGCAACTACAAGTATTCACAAAAGGCCCAGTCCTGTAAGGTGCTGAGCAGGTCAATGAAAACAGGCTGCTGAGAATGGTGCAGGAGGGATTCAGCACTTTGCAGGATTGGGGTTAAATTGCCTTTGTGGCATATCAGGGGCACACAGGCCCAAGGCAGGCATTGCCATGGATATTAAAGTTACTCATTGGAAAGTCTTATCGTGCTCGTGCTTTCCTGTCAAGTGTAGCAAATGTTTACCGTAGTACGATATGAAACTTGATAATAATGAGCAGCCAATGTCATTGAAATGTGCCAGTGGAATGTGATGTTCAGAATGGACAATAATAGCAACTTCTGCGTAAAGTTTGCGTGTCCCTGGCTTTGCTTTGGTAGACAGGATCAGTTTGTTATGTTTGCTTCTTTCTGCCCAGCTGATGAACAGAATGTAGCTGCAAAATGGAATCTTGCCGTTAATGCCACATAACACCCTGTGGTAGGTAGGTAGATATTAATATAATAAAGTCAACTCTCACATGTGCCAGCGTATCTGCCTTGTTTTCATAAGTTGAGCACTGTGGAGAGAAGCCTTTTCTAATTAAAAAGGCCTTTCTTTAAAGGGCACTTCCTAAGGGCTTTGATTCATTAAATGTTATCCACCGCCATCCGTACACAGATCCTGGCTCTTTGACAGCCAAGGTCAGCCTGCCTGAAAAGCCAATTAAAACCCCAATCTTTTAAGTGGCAGTAAGCTTCTGAAAATTGCAGAGCTAATTTAGAAGGGGCAGAGTTTATGCAAATAAGCTCTTCTTTACCCACAGTCCACTGCACCACATTCCTTTGAATATGTTAGACACTCTCTGCAGCTACGCAGTACATTTTAGTGGTCTGGCTGTTGCTTGTTTTCCAGACTGGCAGAATGCTCCTCTATGACTCCAGCCAAGAGAATGATGACATGAGCAGACTGGCAGCCTTCTAAATTCAAATCCCTTTGATGACAGTGTAAAGAGCACAGATACACAGATGACAGCTGGGCTGGGCAGGCTGGGGACACTGCTTTGAGAGGTGACATGGAACACAGTGTTCCCTGATAGCTAAAGAAGGTGATATTTTAAATTTTTCCTTGAAGACATAGCATTAGCCTTCCTGGCAGCAAGAAGCTCATGGAGTGAAATCTTCCCCTCTCTCCCCTATCTCCCCCCCCCATGCAGAGGGCCAGATAAAAGGACTGTGCACCCCACTGTGCACCCCTTAAAGCCACAAAATTGGGAGTAAGTAGAATTTATGGGTTGTGTAATACTGGACCTCTGCACAGGGGGGAATTTCATCCATGGAGACTTTTTGAGCCAGCAGCCATGGAGGCTTCTTAGAACTGAACTAAGCATGATTGATATTATTATTCAGTATTACATGACCTAGTTTGAAAGTGCCCTGTAACCTAAAAAACATTCACATCAAACTCGAATAGCAAATTCTCTGTTTGCCTGTTCTCTAGTTGGGTTCCAAAAATTGCAGCTAGATCTGGTTGAAGTGGGGATGATTTTTTTATAAAAAATGAGTATTTATTTTCTGTAATAAAAACCTGCAGTTCACATGGTTGGAAAAATCACCAACCAGAATTAGGGAGCCTTTACTAGCTGTCTGGAAATTGATCAAGTGTTATTTGGGCAATGCACAGGGAATTTTATCTATGTGTACCAGGAAGCCCAACCCCTCTCTGTGTATATCCTACATGTCTGCTTCTCTTGATGCTGCTGAAGCGCTACCACAGTATTCTGGAACACTTTCCTTTCAGTACAAGTCAGATATTAGTGGGGTAGAGAAATTTTTAGGGGGTGATTTTTGCATTTCTGTATGCCTCAATCTATATGGGTTAGAAAAGTGATAAATACATTAACATCAATTGATCATCTACCATAGGTGCTGGAACTAGGGGCACTGGGGGTGCTGCCGCACCCCCTAGCTTGAAGTGGTTTCCATTATATACAGAGTTTCCAGTTTAGTTCAATGGCTCTTGGCACCCCCGCTATGAAAATTGTTCCAGCACCCCTGTCATCTACCACAAGTAACCTTAAAACACTGCAGACGCTTGCACCAACTACAGACTAATGTGTGATGGCCCAGTAAAGTAAACCACGTGTTTTAGTATCAATAATTATTAAGGAAATGTCAAAACTGAGCCTAGGTATTTAACAAAAACCAGGTGTAAGCTGGGCGGGATGGCGGGGGGGGGGGGGGAGGCTGTATCACTGTCCTGGGAAGGAAAGCGAACACCACACCCAACTCCCTTTAAGGCCCCTGGCTCAGGGCACTATTTATTGTTTGAACACAAAAGACATAAAATAAAGCAACTTTTAGTTGCTGGCTACAAGCCCCAGAGGTTTTTTCCCTTGTTGCCTCCAGCCGTATGGTAGGCAGGAATCCCTTAACCCTTTCTGAATTGCTGCTCACCTTGTCCAAACAAGTAAATTATTTTTTTTGCTATTTTTGTTAGCACATCTGATGTTTACTTTTCTATATTTGAATTATTAATGTAATCATATGCAGTACTGCTACAGTAAAATGTTATTGTTTTATATTCTACTATAGTTCACTAGGGCTGGGATTTTAAAAGGGCATAAGGGAATTAGATATTCACCTAAGGGAATGAAGTACTCAGACCTCATTGAATTAAATGGGATTTAGGTGTCTGATTCCCTTATGCTGCTTTTGAAAATCCCAATTTAGACCTAGATACACAAAACCACAACAACCTTCTTGCAAATGAAAAGAAATAAGAGTGCAAAGGGTTTCTGCAAAGCGATTCCTGCATATGTGTTTCTATTTAGAATTTCCAATGTTAATAGCATCTTCCTCATTTGTATATGCAGTTATTTTTGCTAGGACCCCAAGCAAAAATGATTACAATTTTTTCATGCTCCGGTGCATTTTGCATTGATTTGAGTTCTTGTAACTTTGCTTTAATTGAACATTGAGGGTCATGAAAAAAAGGCAGTCAAGAAGCATGACTTTAAACTAGAGGTTGGGGCTCTTGGAGTAAAAGAATTAGGCTTGAGCGGAGGACTGGAATACCATACAAGAAGATCTGGACGACCTTGAAAACTGGAGTAATAGGAATGGGATTAAATTAAATAGTGTAAAGTGCAAGGTCATGCATTTAGGGACTAACAACAAGAATTTTTGCTATAAGCTGGGGACTTAGTTGGAAGTGACAGAGGAGGAGAAAGACTTGGGTGTATGGGTTGGTCGCAGGATGACTATGAGCCGCCAGTGAGATGCAATTGCGAAAAAGGTTAATGCAGCCGTAGGCATAGGTGCTGCTGCATCCCCTCCCTTGAAGTAGTTTCCATCATATACAGGGTTTAAGTTTGGTTCAATGGCTCTCAGCACCCCCACTATACAAATTGTTCCAGCACCCCTGGTCCTAGGATGCATCAGGTGCGGTATTTCCAGTGGAGACAGGGAAGTATTAGTACCATTACACAAGACACTGCTGAGACCTCATCTGGAATACTGTGTGCAATTCTGGCCTCCCATGTCTAAGAAAGAAAAATTTAAAGTAGAACAGGTGCAGAAAAGGGCTACTAAGATGATCTGAGGAATGGAAAACCTACCTTATGAGGGGAGACTCAGAGCTTGGTTTGTTTAGCCTAACCAAAAGAAGGCTGAGGGGACATATGATTGCTCTCTATAAATACATCAGAGGGATAAATACCAGGAAGGGAGAGGAGTTATTTAAGCTAAGTGCCAATGTGGACCCCAGAACAAATAGCTATAAACTGGCCATCAACAAGTTTAGGCTTGCGATTAGACAACAGTTTATAACCATTAGAGGAGTGAAGTTCTGGAACAGTCTTCCAAGGGGAGCAGTGGGGGCAAAAACCTAATTTGTTTCAAGACTGAGCTTAATAAATGTATGGAGGGGGTGATATGACGAGACTGCCTACAACGGCATGTAGCCGATCTGCGACTGCTAGCAGCAAATTTCTCCAGCAGCCAGTGATAGGACACTAGATGAGGAGGGCTCTGAGGTACTACAGAGAATTCTTTCCCAAGTGTCTGTCTGAGGGGTCTTGCTCACATGCTCAGGGTCTAACTGATGGCCATATTTGGGGTCCGGAAGGAATTTTCCCCTCTGCAGTTTGGGGCATGGGTCACTCACAGGTTTAAACTAGTATGAATGGTGGATTTTCTGTAACTTTAAGTCTTTAAACCATGATTTGAGGACTTCAGTAACTCAGCCAGAGATTATGGGTCTATTACAGGTGTGGGTGGACGAGGTTCTGTGGCCTGCAATGTGCAGGAGGTCAGACTAGATGATCACGATGGTCCCATCTGACCTTAAAGTCTATGAGAGTGATCGCATGGTGGTTAGTGAGGGGAATGGTGGTAAGTAGAAGATTAAACCAGACTGTTTTTCACCAGCTTACTACAAAGCATTCATGCCCTGTAGTCTTTAAGTATAATAAAATCCACATGCAAGCCCCAGCATCTAGCATCAGTAAACTACATATAGTGTAAGAGCACATAGTAAACCAGTCTCATTAGAGCAAAAACACATAAAAATCTAATATGCATATCCAGCTTATTTCCCCTCCCCCTCCCTTCTACAAGCAACAGATACCAAGAGGTATGTGCTGTTTCAGTAACTCAGTAGAACACCCTTCTCTAGGACAATGATGGTTATCATTCAAATCCTGGAGCTCTCCACTGGCCACGGTGAAAAAGCTCCATCTTGTGGTCTAATTTATATAGCATGCTGCAAGTAAATGGAGGTGGAGCTAGCAATAAGAATAATAGAATCATAGAAATGCAGGGCTGGAAGGGGCCTCAAGAAGTCATCGAGTCCCGCCCCTGCGAAGAAGCAGGATCAATTAAATCTACACCATCCCTGACAGGTGTCTGTTTGGCCAATTCTTAAAAACCTCCAATTGTGGGGATTCTACCATCTCTCTTGGAAGCCTATTCCAGAGCTTAACTATCCTTATAGTTAAAAAGTTTTTCCTAATATCTAACCTAAATCTCCCTTGTTGCAGATTAAGCCCATTATTTCTTGTCCTATCATCAGTGGACAAGAAGAACAATTGATCACTGTCCTCTTTATAACAGCCCTTCACATATTTGAAGACTGTTATCCGGTCCCCCCCCCCTCAGTCTTCTTTTCTCAAGACTAAACATACCCATTTCCTAATAGGTCAGGTTTTTTAAACCTTTTATAATTTTTGTTGCTCTTCTCTGGTCTCTTTCCAATATGGTTGCTGTATGACCTGAAGGGCCTGGTAGGATTTTTGAACTATTATGCACCTCAAATGGCTTTCCTTGGTTTGTCCTTGTCGGTTCTACCACTACTTATATCTTATTGCACTGTAGGTACCTGGAGGAGTATGTAAAATGGTAGGCTTCTTGGCCGGCCAGCAAAGCTACAGCAGAGCTTTGATGACATGTGTATAACTGAACTGCAGAAACTTACCACCAGAGGGAGTCTATAGAAATAATAAGAACAGGAGGACTTGTGGCACCTTAGAGACTAACAAATT